CAGGGCTATGAAACATCAAGACACACGCACCCCAGTGTTCACTGCAGCACTATTTACAATAGCCAAGGCATGGAATCAGCCTAAATGTCCATTGACAGATGAAAGGATAAAGAAGATGTGGTACATATATACAATGGAATATTACTCAGCCATAAAGAAGCATGAAATAATGCTATTTGCAGCAACAGGGATGGATCTAGAGACTATCATACTAAGTGAAGTAAGTCAGAGAAAGACATCATATGATATCATTTATATGTGAAATCTAAAAAAAATGATACAAATGAACTTATTTACAAAACAGAAATTGACTCACAGACATAGAAAACAAACTTATGGTTACCAAAGGAGAAAGAAGGGGGAGGGAGGAATAAATTAGGAGTTTGGGATTAAAAGATACACACTACCATATATAAAATAAACAACAAGGACCTACTATATAGCACAGGGAACTATATTCAGTATCTCATAATAACTTATAATGGAAATGAATCTGAAAAAGAATATTTATACACACACACATATACATGAATCACTTCACTGTACACCTGAAACTAACACATTAGAAATCAACTATACTTCAATTAAAAAAAACAAATCAACGGTTGGATTACAGGTGTGCTTACCTAATGTTACCTAACAGGTGTGCTTACCTAAGTAGATTACATTATAGAAGAAACCAAAGTAGGCTCCTTCATTGCCAGCAGAGTGATTTAGTGATCTTTAGTACTCAGCTTCATAGGAATACAGATAGAATATGGGGGTTTTGTGCCGACTCACCATTTTGCATTTTCTCTGCTAATGCTTAAGCCAGTGCCTGAGTGGACAGTGGTGCTGTTTGTCGCCTCTTCAGTCCAGAGAAGCTGACTTGGGTCTAAGGCAGGGACCGGCAGGTCGGCTCCGTTGCTGACCAGGACGACAGGAGTGTCTGAGGCAACAATGCTCTGCTCCTCCAGAGGGGGAGAAGGGGTGGGGGGAATAGGTGCTGGAGCCACAGCGGGCAGAGGGACTGCGGACTTGGGTCTGCCTGTGGTCTGCTCCTCGGTGCCAGGGGCAGTCTGCTCGGGTTTGAGACTCACCACGCTGGTCTCCGAAGGCTCTCCTTTAAGGTCAGATATGCCAGAAGTGGTTGCATCTGAGGATGGCTGAGACGTTGGCTGCTTGCCAGTTTTTTTCTTGCCCTTTGTGATTCCTACCATCCCTGTTTTGCTAGAAACTGTCTCCTTTGAAGCTTTAGGACGAGATGAGGTGGAGGAAGTAGACGGTGAAGCTGTTGCTTTGGAGCCAGTTGTTCTTCTTGAATGAGAGGAACCAGCTAAAGTAGAGAGATTTTGCATTAAGAGTCAAAGAAGAGAACACTTTTTAAATAAACTAACCGAGTTGCAATCGTCAATGACCATGTTCCCTTTAAAGTTTACAAATCTGTCTGAATAGATGCATAAAGGGAAATAGGTTAATGATAATAATGGTCTTGTTTTCTGCCCCCTCCTTGCCTCCAACGGAGGAGCAAGTGATGCTTGAGGCCAAACCCTGAGGGTCAAGAGTCCTCTGTCTACTCCCTCCTCCAGTCTTTAGCTGAGCCAGCCAAAGGGAAATCTTCACTTCCTTGCCCTATGGGTCACCTGAAAAAGTCCCTGTATGCTCCAAAGAAGGGACATTATAGCAGTAGAGGGCAGACACCAGCAGCTGTCTGGGTATAGTACAAGGTTACTCTCATCACAAACTGTACATGTTCTATGATGCCTTTCTGGGAATAGAGTGGTCCACATTCAGAAGATGCTGGAGTATATACCACCAGCTCCTGTCTGGCCAAAAGCAAATTTACTCATCTTAACTGCTAAGAGAGCAAACTCCAAACCAGCTCTCCCCCAATGGCTGTAGAGAAGCTTGCCACCCTGCCCCATCTCCCCAACTGCAGCGATAACGGGGCAGAGGGAAAACCCATGGCCACGTACGAAGGACAAGTCTCCTTCAAAACATCAAGAGGCAGAAAAATGTCTTTTTTTTTTTTTTTTACAAAAAATGTGTAGATGGGT